GCCCATCATTAGCTTAGGTTTGATAAAGTCAGCGGGTCTACTCTGAGTTGGATGCAGCTCAGGGAAATTCTGGTTCAGACCAGGCTCAAAATACTTGGGGAAATGTGGGGATTGAGGAATCGGATCGGGTCGAAGCCAGCTGAGCTGATTCCCCACTGAAATCAATGGGCCAGGAATGACTTGCCCCATTGACTTCAACAGGACTCAGACTGGATGAAGTCCTATATGTTCTTACCTGGGAGCCAGTCCCGCTGACGTCACTAGGACTTATATCTGAGCAGACCTCTGCAACATCACTCCATAAAGGACATGACAGTTTGGGCAGAGGGAGGGAAGGAGGGAGGTAAGCAGAGTTCTGTGTGCTTGTGTCAGAGCTCTCTCCCACCCTGCAAACATGCAAACGATTAAAAATCGGCATCAGGTGACCTGGGAGGCCAGGGTTCAAAAGGAGGGAGTAGAGCCATGCGCAACACTTTGAGTTCCTTGGAGAGGCATATATGTACATAAATTACTGTTTTCATGTAGAGCAGCACAGGCATGTGGCTGTATGGACTATGACTGGTAGTAGTGTGGTGTAGTGGTTAGAGTGTTGGACTGTGGGAGGTCAGGATTCAAAGCCACCACTCAGCCATGAAACTCACAGGGTGACCTTCAAGCCAGTCGTTGCCTCTCAGCCTAACCTACCTCACTGCGTTGTTGTGAAGATAAAATGGGGAGAGGATACCGTGAGCTGCCTGGAGGGAAAGGCAGCATTATTAAGAATAATTGTGTTTGTTTGCTTGCTTGCTTGCTTGTTACCTATCATTCACTTCCTCTGTCTCCTAAGCATTACATATTGTATTTCTAAAAAGAAAAAGAAACAACCCAATACAGTGGTACCTCAGGTTACAGACGCTTCAGGTTACAGACTCTGCTAACCCAGAAATAGTACCTCGGGTTAAGAACTTTGCTTCAGGGTGAGAACAGAAATCGTGCAGCGGCGGTGCAGTGGCAGCAGGAAGCCCCATTAGCTAAAGTGGTGCTTCAGGTTAAGAACAGTTTCAGCTTAAGAACGGACTTCTGGAACGAATTAAGTTCTTAACCCGAGGTACCACTGTAAAGTCATCAAATAAATTATCTAACAAAAGGAACAGTTGTGTTCGAAAATCTTCAAACTTAAAATGTTTATGTGTTTATTACGTAAATAAATAATTGAACATTTAATTATATAAATAAATAGGATGCAGAGCAGGACTCCTTCTACCAGCACTGCTGAAAGACCAGCTGCATCCTACCCCTGAATTGCTATGTTTAAGCCTTGGCACCCGAGTTGGTGGGGTTTTTTTCTTCTTCCTCTTCCCTCCTTGTCCTTTCCCCCTTGCATGTTGTGTCTTTCAGGTGCTAAGCCCACAGGCAGCGACTGCCTTGTTTTAAAACGATTGTATGTAAAAGCCACTCAGGCCAGGGTGCCTTTTTGGCTGAAGAGCAGGGTGCAAATGCTCTAAATAAACAAATATAAATAAATAAAACCTTTACCCAACAAATTTATCCAAACTTCCACCAATAAGCTTAGTGGCTGAGGTGGGAATTCGAACCCACACTGTTTGTTTTTTGGCACGCCTGCTAATCACTTAGGTAAGTTTACCCAGATATACAATGGGAACATCTATTTTAACATACCATTTTATTTTATAATGGATATTTTTAAACTACTGACCTTTTTATGTCCTGTAAAATGTAGGTTAATTTTTTATTAACTCTTTTAACCATAAGTTCTAATGTTTTTTATATTAGGTAAAAGCCCTTACAGTTGTTGTTTTTTGCTTATTTTTACAAAAAAGGGTTGTATCCAACGCCAGGCCTACTCTGAGTAGACCCACTGAACTGGACATGTTACTTTCGAGGGGGTCCACTCTGGGAAGGGCTTTGTTGGATACAACCCAAATCCAGTCACACAAATTTAAAAGAAGGGTCGAGTTGATAACGACAGTGCCTCAGAGCATGGACAGAGTGCAATCCCTCCAAAGGGAAAAGCAAAACAAAAAAAGATGGAAACGATGCTTTTTTTTACCCTGGGAATTAACCGCCAGCAGATGGAAGAGGAGAAAAGCTCATTGGTTTAATGGGCCTATAAAGTGAGTGTGGAAAGGAAGAGATTTTTGCAGTGGCGGGAGAATTGGGGGGGGGGTTTAGGTGGGAGTGTGTGCAGCCAACCCACCCACCCCCCACCCGAAAAAGGAGGTTGCTGTTTGGGGCATGACTGCCTGGTTCACCTCAGATGGTGTGAGCCCGCAAATCCCTGTTTCCCACACATTGATCCATTCATGCTGTTAAACTGCAGACAAAAGACGTGTGCCTCATGAGTCCTTTCATGCCATCTGGCCTGTACTCTGGAGGGGTGATTTGGAGAGGAGAAGGAGTTGGGGGGGGAGAGATGATGGAGAGAAGGAAGGAGAGTTATTTCATGAAGAGGGGCGAACCCACCCACCCACCGCCCCCTGCTCAGGAGTCCCTAGGGGTCTTTGTGATGCGAGTGGCGGTCGCCGCTGAAATCCACTCATTTCATATTTCCCCCCCCCCCCAAAAAAAAAACTGTACATCCGATTTCTTATCCGAACCTCCCGCATCGCCACCAGACTTTGTGCAGCCCGCCTGCCCAGCTGGTGTGCCCTCAGTGCCATGTCAAAGGCAGCGGTTTGTGTCCGAAGGCTGCAATCCTCACCCCACTTACGGCAGGAGTAAGGCACCCGCCTAGGTTCTATAGGACTGGCTTCCGAATGGATAGAATTGCACTGGCAGAAGCAGTAAAACAATGTTATTGCAAAGGCTTCTGCCGGTGCTGGCATATGCAAGCTTTTGCATCACACAGGATTCTTCGTCAGGTGGCCTGGCGTTCAAACTGCATGTGTTAAGCTAGGGAAGTGTAGCCTTCTGTGTTGCACAGAACTCCATCACCCTGCTTTGGTCATATTTTACTCCATTTGGCAGGAGGGGCGCACATTCTTTGAAACTAGCCAAGTCCCAGAGGTATACAGGTTTCCTGACCTCACAGGTTTGAAATAAAACAGGCAGCTTTAAGAGATCACCGACTCCTGGGGCTGGCGGAAGCTGTTCGAGAATATACAGCACCACTGCCTTCACTTACGACCCTGTCAGCTATAACTGGGGCTTCAGAAAGGGAAGGCAGGTGTGGTCTCTTTGCTCTTCAGAAACAGAGAATCACAGAACTGTCGAACTGGAAGGGATCCCGAGGGTCATCTATATATCAATAATATAGATGACCCTCATTATTGATCAATAATATAGATGACCCTCATTATTATTGATGTATATATCAATATACATCAATAATAATAATAATAATAATAATAATAATAATAATAATAATAATAATTTATTATTTGTACCCAGCCCATCTGGCTGGGTTTCCCCAGCCACTCTGGGCGGCTTCCATAGAAACCAAAAATACACTAAAATATCACACATTAAAAACTTCCCTGAACTTCTAGTCCAACCCCAGGCAAAGGAGAGACGCAGTTCAGTGGCTGAGCATCTATTTTGCACACAGAAGGCCCTAGGTTTGATTCCTGGCATCTCCAGGAATCTGAAAGCCTGGAGATTTGCTACTAGTCATGGTAGACCTTTTATTTGCCAAAGTACTAGAGATAGTAAAGAAACACTGAAGGGTGATTTCGTTTAACCAAGTGGAAACCAAGGGAGAGCGGGGAGGAGAATAAACTGCCTCACTAAGGACTACCTGCTTGAAGGGACATGGTACTTGCTAAGTGCTACTTGCTTAAAATATCATGATACTTACAAATTACTTCACCTTTTTATCACTGGCAATGATCACATTATACCCCCCTCCCCCCTCCCCCGTCTCTCCCTCCTGCTGCTTCTGTGAGTATTTTCTTCTCATTTCATTGATTTGGGGACTGAAAAAATAGATGTATTTTGACCTTTGTGGGCTTTTGCTTTTGTTTTGTTTTTAAGACTAGGTGACTTTGCTTGCTTTGCTTTTAATGACACAGCAAGGCTACCTAAGCGTGCAGTATGGCTGGAGATTCTGCTTGTGCTAATTAGCCATTATGAAAAAAATAAAAATGAAATTGTTGAATAATTCCGCAGAGGAAGGGTGGGGATTTAACACTATGTAAGTACCCATTGCATTGCGGCCTGGGGATGAAGGGAGGCACAGCTAAATACAAGAACTGGTATGTGTGATTTTGAGAGGGGGGCTGGGAGAGATGTACCCGACCAAGTCCTACTCACTCAGCCTAAACCCATCAATGGACCAAAACTAGTCAAGTTCATTAATTGCAATGGTTCTACTCTGAGGAGGCCTATAATCCAGGGTGGACCTCAGCCAGATGCAAAAAGAAAAGGCAAAGTCCTTGTGCACCTTTAATAGAAGATAATTTTTGCTGACAAACTTATGTTCCAGAACTCCCTGCACCCTCCCCAGAACATATGTTTTCCCTTTTACATTTTGGTTGCTATTCTGAAAATCGACCTCACTGTATTCATTCAAGCACACTTTGATGTCAATGGAAAAGGTCTGGGTCTCCCAAATCTTGCTAGCCCCCCACTACAACCCTTTTCAAGGGAAGCTTTTGGAAACGGGTAAGCTGAAGGGGTGGGGGGAAGGTGTGTGCACACACAGAGTCTTCCTGAGCATCGCTCCCTGGCACTTAATTTCGCTGCATCCTGGGAAAAAGGCAGCATATTGAGATGTTGACGTCCCTCCGGCTCCCAAGGCCGAAGATAATGGCCGTTCCCACATTCCCATCCTCCTCGAAACTGGTCTCTGTTGTTACGCGCCCCCCACCCCAAGCTCCCCAGTCCACCTGCTCCTTGGGGAACAGTGGTATTATCCCAAAGCGATTCACAGTCAATTTACCATGCTGTAATAGATGCCTCCCCTATTGTCCTGGAGAACCTTCCCCATTGGCCAGGGAGTGTGGGAAACTCCAAGACGCTCTGGACCCAGGCATTTGGAGGAGGCTGATGGGTATAAATAGAGGCCCCCACTCCCTTTTGCTCCCACACACAGCAGACCTGAAGCCAAACAGTTTCCTCGCTTTCGTGGGTTAATCATGGCAACAGCCGGCGCTTCGCTGGAAATCCAGCCATCCAAAGCGAAAATCAGAGTAAGTGTTTTCTTCTATTGTCCTGCTTGGAAATGGTCAGATCCTGCCCTGCCAGGAGAGAGGGGGTTGTGTGGAAGTCTAGCAAAATGGACATGCTGTACTTAGCTTTCTTATACTGAGTCAGACCAATGGGCGCAAGAGTCTCACTCAGACTTACCTGGCAATGTTTGGTGGGGATGTTTAAACCTAGGTTAAATTTTGCACGCAAGCAGACGCTCTTATCGCTGAGCCATGGCCTTTCCCCACGTGCGATTTGCTAACTCTCTCTTTTCCTCTCCTTGTCGCCTCACAGCTGCAGAAGCCGCTGGTGGAGAAGTTGCGCCGCGACCGCATCAACGGCAGCATCGAGCAACTGAAACTGCTTCTGGAGAAGGAATTCCAGAGACACCAGCCCAGCTCCAAGCTAGAGAAGGCTGACGTTCTGGAGATGACCGTCAGCTATCTAAGATACAGCCAAAGTGAGTGCTGGTCTTGTTTATTTATGCTAGAAACCTGTATCGGTTTAATGCCATATTCAGTGCATGCATCTTCACCACTACTGAATTCTGGGAGGGGTAGTTTGGTCAGGATTTCAGCGAAGATCCCATGTGCCACTCAGAGAATGACATTTCCTATGGCTGCCTAGAGTCCTTGGCACAATGACAAGTCCCCAAGGTTCTCTAGGGAGAAGAAATGGCTGTTAAGCTAGGTTTAATGTGTTGGGTAGCTATGCCCTTTACGTAGCTAGTGTATGTTAGGTCAAAACACCACTGTGGGCACCCTCACCTCTAAATCCCATCTCTCTTTCCTCACAGCATTGGCGACATCGTCTGGAAGCAGAACCCAGGATTACAGCAAAGGCTATTCCTCCTGTCTGAAGGAAACTCTGCAGTTCCTGGCCATCCACTCAACGAACTCCGAAACCCAGAGCAAGCTCTTAAGTCACTTCCAGAAGCCTTGGGAGGTGGCTAGCAAGGACACCTCTCCACTTTCTACCCCCGCTCTGCTTCAGAAGGGGTCACCCCAAGGCGCCGTCTCAAAACCAGCCTACAAATTGTGGAGGCCTTGGTAGGAGAGAGCTCTTATTCTCGACATGTGTTTAAGACATCCAGGAGGAGTTGGCAATTTGCCATGCAAATCCTGCACCGCTCCTCGGGAGAATATGTGCGGCTTAATATGTATTGATATCTGACTGACAGAGGCCTTCCTCATTCAGAAAGGCAAAGTGCTCAGAAAGGAAAAACCATTCCGAAAGAATGGACCAATGTCATCCTTTTATGGGGAGAATTCCGAGCAGCTGTCCCAAGGGGAACAACAAATCATTATAATTGTGCTGTGTTCGGATCTTGATGCTTATTATTAATTGATAGAAAGTGTGCAGAGATGTGTGTGTGTTTGAGGTTTGTTTTGTTTGCAAAAAAAAGAGTAACTTCTAAGAAGTTTTTGGGCCGTTTTCTTTTTTCAAGAGTCTCTGTGCTTTGTGTGGCTTCCTTGCAGCCACAGCAACAGACTGGCCATATTTTGGTGGCCAGAGTGAATACCGATGAAGGCTAGGGAACTGAACAAATCCTCAGCTTGCTTACTTCACTTACAATTCTCAGGGCCACCTTCCCTTTATAGGAAGCCCTTGGGGCCGCAATTCAGTGAGGGGTGGGGCCAGAAGTAGGCAGAGTAATAGGGTGTGAATGTTGCCTTTGCATGGCAGGCTACATTCCAGCCCTGCAAATACTAGGTTTCGAAACACACAAATATCCCCACGCTTCATCCAAGAAGGGCTATTACGAGTTCATGGACATATTTCAGTCAGATGAAAGAACTCAAGGAAGGTGTGATGCAGGGCTGCAATGAAGTTCTGTAACATTTGTAGATTTCCAACACACATGTAGTCTGTGAAACAGCTATTTAGCTGCGCCCACAAATGCAAGAGGCTATTTTGAAAAGAGGGGGGAAAAGGCCTTTGAATGTTGCTGCTGTGATGAAGTTCTATAACATTTGTAGACTGTACAGAGTGTGGCAAGAGAAAAGTGTTACCCTGTGACGATAACGTGTAGAGGATGTTCTTCAAATTGGTTGACTCTCCAAGGCAGAGTGTTTGTGTTCGAGATGCTGAACGAATGCTTTTTATAAAGGCAAAAACATAGTTTTCTATCCTCATAGGAAGGAACGTAACAGCCCAGAGTGCTGAAATATGTATAACATGAATTGTTTGATGATGTCTTTTATGAAAGGCTAATTGTACAAATTGTATTTACTTTTCTTTCGGTACCATAACTGTTTTTATGGTAAGTTAATTTTTGCTGGCTACCGTCCTTGGAGGATGATGTAATGTTGTTGGGTGTGACGCACCGAATCTGTAATCCGTTGGAAACCACTTTTGCACAGTGAATGAGAAACAAATAAAACTAGCTTGCCTTACATGCATTTCAGTGTATCCAGTGAGTTATTCTGATTGAAGATGGGACATTCTGAGCAATCGGCCTCTAACATCAGGGGAGTGTGGGGAGTTTTCAATTGCTTTACAGCCAGATTGTTACTCATGAGTTAAGGCTGCAATCCCAACTGCACTTACCTGAGAGAAAGCCCAACCAAGTTCAATAGGACTTACTTCCCAGGAGACATGGTTACTAGGACCGAACTGTTAATCCAATTGTGTTCAACGGGGCAGACTCCCCAAATCTGCTTAGGAGAGCAGTTTTAGTGAACTGTACGCACACATAACAGAGCATTTGTTAGTGGTGTCGAGAATTGTTTGGAAAGGCCCCTATTCCCCTCAGAGAGCTACAATATCCAGAGTTCCCTGTGAGAAGAGATTGACTGTTAAACCACTCTAAGAACCGTAGTGGGGGGAATAGGGGTCTCCCAACAACACTCAAGACTACAGCTCCCAGGAATCTTTGGGGGAAGCCATGACTGCTTAAAGGGGTAGGACACTGCTTTAAATGTACAGGGCAGATGTAGAGGAGCCCTTGTCTCCTAATCCCAGATGTGTGGAGGTGTTTGTGGTTCCCCAGGGGTGCAAAAACGACATTCTGCACATGCACGAAAGCTGTCCCTTCTTTCTTATTGCATTGCTTGTCTAGGCTAGGGCAAAGCCCGCTTATGACTCCAGGAAAGCCTGGCTCCAATTGCAACCTGAAAGAAGAAACCCGAAAGAAATAATCAATTAACCAAAAACCTCTCTGTTTCACTTATTATTTATTCAGTTTCTTACTCATCCTTCACTAAAAGGTCCCAGGACAGAATACAATATTTAAAATTCATTACTGAAAACTCTTTAAAACAAATTAAGAGTCACAGGGCAGATGCATCTCTGCAAGGAGGGAATTCAACAACCTTGGAACTGCCACAAAGAATGCTCTCCCCCGCCCCCCCCCCAAGACCACCCATCAGGTAGAGCGTGTTGCAATAATCCAATCTGGAAATCCAAACTTGTGAAAGGCCTTCCATGTTCACTCAAGGCATTCTCTGTGGCAGCCTTTCAGTTGTGTAATTCCCTTCCCAAACACGTATGTCGAGCATCTTCATTATGCAGAAGATTTACCCTGCCTTTTGAAACCTCAGGTGTGTGTTTTTAGGACCCACCTTATTCCTGTGCCTGTAATCTGTTTCAATTATCTATTCATTCATTCATTTATTGAATTCCTATACCACCTTTCATCTGAGGATCACAGGGCAGCTAACAATATAAAAACACAAAAATACATAACATAACAAAACAATAAAATAAAATAAGAAACAAAACAGTAACTATCACTATGTTTTTATATGTGCTGTTAGCTGCCCAGAGTGAATAATGGTAGCCGCCCGCCCCGTAAGATTAAGAACGTAAGAAAAGCACCCACCAGCCACCCCCAGAAAGGAGGAACAGCAACACTGTCAAGCTACATTGCGCCATCTTGTGGGCATTTCCCCTTTAAAACAAAAACAACCCTGACAAGTGGGAGCTGCAATGAAATGTAAGGTCATTTGCTAGCAAAGTTGTCCAGCCAGTCGTGACCTCCACCAAGATATTTATTCTACCCTCCCACCACTCATCTCTTCTCCTTTGTGAACGTTTTGCGGCTATAGAGCATGCTTGACTCCAACTGTTGCTGTGGGTTTAATTGTGAACATCCAACTGTATATTTTAACACGTTTTACTCTGTATTGTTCATGGCCCAGGGAACATTACTTACTGGACAGTGTACAAGCATTGTTAATAAATACATTCTACCGGTGGGGGGCGGGGGAATTGCCTTTTATTATTATACTTCTGCAACCCTCAAATGCCTCATTTTTCAGAGACCTGCTCAGCTAGTCCTTAGGGGAAGGGCCACATCGAGGTGGTTAGACAGAACCGGCCCACCCGTGAGGTAGGGTGGAGCAGCCGCCTCAGGCGCTGCAAACGCAAGACACAGCACCCCACCTGCCACACTGCTTCTGTCGTCACTGGAGAAGCAACCCAGGCAAAGGAGGCAGAGCAGTCTGCCACTCCACTTTGCCACCAGTCGCCCCCCACCCAAAGGGGTGGCAGGAGGCCCTGACAAAGCTCTCCGGAACATATCCCTATCGCCAAGTCGTCATGAGATGTTCCAGACATCCTTGCAGTGTTTACCCCCTCCTCCACACACAGGCAAGGATTTGCAAGGGGTTTTCCTTGAGGGAAAGTACTTGCAGAGCCTCATGCCTGCCCCCCACATCACATGCGTGGCCGTGGGACATCTTGCCTCAGGAGCCGTAACATTTCAGGCCACCCCTGTGAGCATCTGTTTTGCATGCAGAAGGTCCCAGGTTCAATCCCTGGCATCTCCAGGCAGGGTTGGGAATGTCCTGTCTGAAACCCTGCAGAGCTGCTGCCACTCAGCAAGTACAATCATAAACCAGATGGATCTGTGGTTTAATTCAGTGTAAGGCAGCTTCCTACATTTTTTTTTTTTAATGCACTCTCCTCTGGATTTTGTAATGCATTTCTCCAGCCAAGAAATGTGTGCTAAAGTGCATATGCCATCGTAAAGTCCCATAAAAATTCAGAAGGGCTTTTTTCTTTTTCAAATCCAAACTCTCCTCTGCAATGCATTTCTCCAACCAAGTAACGTGCACAGAACTGCATATGGTACTCTAAATTCTCCATTAAAATGCATGCCTGTGAAAACATACAAAACTGCCTTATGCTTTGCAAAACAACAAGAAACGTGTATGCTAGGAAAAACTGCATACAAACATGTGCAGAACAGGACAAATTCACACTAAAATAGTGATGAATATTCAGGAGGCCCCCCCCTTTTTTTTCTTGGGAAAACTCTTCTCTGAATTTTGCAATGCAATTCTCCAGCCAAGTAACGTGCAGGGAAATGCAAATCCTATCGTGAAATCTCCATTAAAAACACATTTTGTTGTTTAGTCGTTTAGTCGTGTCCGACTCTTCGTGACCCCATGGACCAGAGCACGCCAGTACGTCATACAAAAATGCAACATGCTGCAGGAAAGTGCTTTGCAATATATATAGGGTATATATAAATGTGTGCGTATGGAGAAAAAACTCGCTAAAAAGTTGAGTATAATTTTCGGGAATGCTTTAAAAATAGTAATGATGGTGATGGTGATGTGCAAATCTAATGTGGAAACGTGGAGAACCGAACTGAAGGAATCTGGCGGATCCATCTGTCCCTACTCCCGAGTAAGCGCATTTGGAGTGGAGGCAGCCTAAATCGTTTTCATTCCCTGGGCACGAATGGCGAAAGGGAAGAGGCGTGGGCGGAGCTTCTGGAAAGCGCCGCCCACTTCCCCCCCTTTAGATGTATGCGGAGCCTCTTTCTCCTCCTCCTCCTCCCTGGCATTTAGCACGCAAAACATATGCGCATAAATTTGCATGCCTAAAGAGGCCGGGCACGCAGAGAGCGGGTCGATGCGTCCAAAATGGCGGAGCGGGGCGGGCGAGGCGGTGGTAGGAACAGCGGCGGCGTCAGCGGCAGCCTAGACAAGAGCATCACCCTCCCGCCGGACGAGATCTTCCGCAACCTGGAGAACGCCAAGCGCTTCGCCATCGACATAGGTGAGCCGGGGCTGGAGGGGAGGGACGCCGCTGAGGGCGGAGAGGCGGCGGCAGCCAGCGCCGCTCCTCACGGCCACTTCACCATCTTCATTTGAGAGAGAAAAAGGGAGGCGAACGCGCGGAGGAGCTGAGGCGCCGCCGCCGCCGCCGCCGCGCGAGGGACGCCGGGAACGGTAGTCCCGCATCCCATAGCGGCCCGTGGCGGCTGAGGGAGAAGCGGACGGCAAGTCCCGGCGTGCCCCGGGGCCGAGCGGGCGGCGCGGCGCACGGCGGGAGGTGTAGTCCCCGCTCTCACCGCGGCCGGCGCTGGCTCGCGGCGAGGAAACTACGGAGCCCAGAGTGCCTTGCTCAGGGGCCGGGAGGGGGCGGGGGAGAGGTAGAGAAGAGAACGTATAAACAAGGTTGCCCGCTTTGGCTGTACCTTCCCTGCCATAGGGGGAAACCCCGCCAGGGTTTGGGGCTGGGGGCTGCCTGGGTATCGCCCCCATACTTGGGGTGGGGGAATTGGAAAGGAGTTTGACCTTGTTTTCTCCCCAAGTGAGGGCTGGGAAATGTGCCACCCTTGGAGGAAGGGGAATTAGGATTGGGCAGGTTAGCAGAGGTGGCCCCCAGGGCCTTTCTCCCCGGCCCTCATGGCTCTCCTCAGCCCTCCACCAGCCCAGCATTGCACACATAGGATCAGAGAGTTGGAATGGGCCACGAGGGTCATCTAGTCCAACCCCCCTGCGATGCAAGAATCTTTTGCCCAAGGTGGGGTTTCAAACCCACGACCCTGAGATGAAGAGTCGTGTGCCCTACTGACGGAGCTCATCTTGAATTTTGTTTTTTGCTTGGCTGGAAACGTGCCCTTGAAATGCGCCTCTCATTCATCTTGTTGGAGGGCAGGGTGTTTGTGCGTGCTAGTGTAGAAACTGACTTGTTGTGTAAAGTTAAAATTTGCATTCGCTACTCTGCCCACTTTCGCTCCCTGGGCCCGCCCATTGCTTGAATGTGGCCCTCAGAAGGTTGCCTGGGAGGGAGTGTGGCCCTCGGCAGTGGCGGGGGGGGGGGAGTTCCCCACTGCTGATATGCAGGTGTATTATTACACGGTCATTTTATGTAACGTGCTTTAAGCATGTTCAAAGCCAGTGCAGTGTGGTTGTGGCGTGTTGGAATAGTACCTAGAGGACCAAGGTTCAAATTCTCCCTCACCCATGAAGCTCGCTGTGTGACCTTGAGCCAGGTGCTAAATATCAGCCTAACCTAGCTCACAGGATTGTTGTGTGGATAAAACAGAGAGATTTTGCTATTTTAAGCTCCTTGGAGGAAAGATGGGATACAAATGAAATAAACAAAAAATAATAAACAAAAACTGAAAGTACTGCTTATTTGGTATAACATTATATCCTAT